ATTTTGACTTGTTTCTTGAATAGGACATTCAGTGAAAAAGACACTTCGTATTTGTAGTACAGGGAAAACCTTGTGAGAGACGCTATACTTCAGGTGATTTGTTCACTTTTCGCTCTCGATTTACCTTTCTCTCTCTACTCCTGGACATTATTCTATTTACTTGATGTAATTTATTTCTCTGGGATGCAAAATTGGCTGTTTCAATAAGGAATGGGACTTGGAAAATTGAGAACAATGTTTTTTCTCAGCAAATCCCAGAAGCGCCGTATGTGTTGCTTCTGTGATCCGCCCAAGGCACACACCACCCCCCATGATTGTTGGTGAAGCAAATTTGTGTGTTTGCGCGTCAACACTTCCATATGTCCCGAAGTTTGACCCCGGGTCCGTGTGGTCCTTTGGTTCCTACGTCCACGTTGTTCTTGGAGTAGTCTGAAATGCGCATTGCCGCCATTACCTCCCTCTTGGCTGCTTGGCTACTCATAGCCACTGCGATTCCATATTCCCACCCCCTGGCTCTTCTCCCTCGTCAGACAATCCCAGACGTTCCGGATAAATGCAAGAACCCATGCGACGGTGTGAATGCAGCGCTTGCTCTCGTGAGTAAACTCTTATTTATTATTTCTTTTCTTGAAACCCATTTCTCAAAACTATTATGTTGGGTAATGTTTTGTAGGGTTGTCAACCTTCGCAATGTTGTACGAAATCCTTTGAGAATGACTATCGGGACTGCGCTCTCTGCTTGGGCAAGGCTGTAAATGCTACAGGGACAGACTGGGCTGCTGCACAATCGGATCTTGATCGTAAGTTACCCATCCCCGTCATTAGAGACATTACAGTTGAAAACTTACCAAAACTCTTTACAAGAATTTGTCCTGGCATGCGAAGCCAAAGGCTTCAACCTCACGAAAGTCACACTCCCGGACCAAAACCCGAGTCGAACTCTGTCTTCTGTACCTGTCGGACAATCGACAGTCACTTCTTTACCCTCTAGCTCAACGTCTTCCCTTATCACTGTAGCACCGGCGGTACCGTCTGCTATCCAGAGCACGATTTCAGCCGTGCCTTTCACTGGTACTCTTCCCAGCGTTAGCGTTGCTGCACCGGCTCCGTCGTCGAACAACGGGATGGTGGTTAATGCTCAGCTTGTTGTTACTCTTTGTATAGTCGGAGCTATTGGTCTAGTTCTCTGAGTTTGAGGGTATTCGAAATGGACTAGATGATATAGGGCACCTCTCCTGGCTTTGGAGCTGTTAGTTTGGATATTGTGTAATTTAGCGACTATTTCAAATGTTTTTTTACAAACTACAAAACAGCTGTCTTTGGCAGCCTTTTCATCGCCTGCCTTACACCCAAATCACCCAAGACATCCTCAGCACCTGCCAAAACTGTGCAATGATTAGTTCATAAAAGGAGAAGTTGAGTGGAACTAACGTACTAGCATCGAAGCCAGATGTGCGATGGTACTGGAGAACAAAGCGTTAGACTACAAGCCGAAGATATCAGTATCTTTCAAAACTTACATTCTCAATCTGGTAGTATAACGAGGTAAGAATGATTGTGGCGAGAGGAAGAGAGTATGAGAACACATACCATTCGACCCATTCCCGTTACTGTCAAAGCACGGCCACCAAACACTTGGGTTGCATCCTCTGCAGTCAGTCTGCCTGCTGTTGATACAAACATCTTCATCAAACCAATAGGGCCGGCAAGTTTTGAGGACATTTCACTATAAGTCATCTGGATAATAAGGATGAGCGATTGGTGTATGAATGTATATTCTAGCATGTTGATCTCACATTATTCATTTGGTGAGTAATGTTTTCGACATAAGCTTGACAAGCTTCCACCCGTTGAATCATAACTGCGAGTTTCGCGCTGCAAAACAAAAGTAAGATGGTAGGCTGGCGAGATGCGAGAGAGCAAGTGACCGAATGACAGCTTGAGAGTTCAATGGCTTGCCAAACACGATTCGTTGATTTGACCATCTGAATTATTGGTCCAAGTCAGCAAGAATACTAGATGAATTATATGAAGAGACGAACTTCATGCACTCTTCAACAACGAGTCGCTGTGCTGCGAGACTACAGCCTGTCACCATCCATCGTTCGTGGTTGAAGTTGCTGGATTAAAAGTCAGTATTGTACAACCATAGTAAGACGGGCTACCCACGAGAGAATAACAGACATCCCAGCACCCTCTTTTCCAAGGGTGTTTGCAACTGGCACCCGAACCTAGTTTCAAAAGTGATCAGAAAGAATAAATACTGCCACCATCCCCACGACCGACCTTGTCAAAGGTTACGAAGGCAGTTCCAGCCGTGGCAGAGTATGACGTTTTAATGGGTTTCGTCTCCACACCAGGTCCTCTAGGAACAAGGATGACAGTGAAACCATTCTAGAAGGTGTTAGCAAATATTCAGGACAAGCTAGCATTTCGCCTACGTCAGTCTTGCAGCCAGTTGTGAAGTAATCCGCAAATGTTCCATTTGTAATCCACCTATTTTGTAAATGCGAGTCCTTAAAAAACAAAGACAGATACGACTTACTTTTTAGTTCCAGTAATGACCCAGTGGTCTCCATCCTTAACTGCCGTGGTCTGTAATCCGCTCACGTCTGAGCCAGCAAATGCCTCAGAGATGGCGAGAGCAACAAATTTCTTGCCAGAAAACGCATCAGGCAAAACCTCTTCTTGCAGTGCCTTCGATCCATAGTTGAGGATTGGAGGTAAACTAATGACACCTCCATTCAAGAGTCCGTCGACAAAACCTCGTGTGCCAAAGCGTGAAATTTCACAATTGAGGATAAACTGTGAGAGCGGTTGAGCACGCCACAAAACAAATTGTGTGAACGACTTACTTCGTGGAAATAGTCAAACTCTTCAGGAGTAACGACACCTCCTAGAAGGGTTTTCCCATGGAGATGTTTTCCGGGGCCAAGGCGCATAGCCAGGAAGTTTTGTTCTCTATACGATGTTCAATATAGACAGGGAATACAGTTGAATCACGGCGTACGCAAGTTTGTTGACAAGCTCTTGGGAGATTCTCTTACCATTGGCTTCACACTTCTCTGCTTCAGGCTGAACGTGCTCCATCAAGAATGCTCTCAACTTTCGTTGGTACTTTCGGTGTGACTCCGTGTAATACGGAGATTTGAAACCTTCGACAAGCCAAGTAGGTTCTGCGTAGGGCACTTTGGAGATCTCTCCCGGAGCCAGGGCTTTGATTTGAGGTTCCTCGCCCTTGATTTTACCAATTATAAGACGGGAATACTGTGGTTTTAAGAGAACTTCATGTCGATGCAGACCAAAGAAGACTGAGGTTGCATCCTTGCCAGCCACACCGTTGGCGTAGAGAACTGTGGAACCACCTGAAAAGACAGTGAGAAACATACTCATCAAGCAGAAAGACAAATATACCAGGATGCAGGTCAGCAAACTTGGAAATATTGTAGACTGTCGAGTCGATAGTGATCCACTGAACAGTTGGTTAACTGGTGTGGGGAAGTGGACACTCAATACTAACAAGGTCACCCTCTTTATTGTGCTGGAGAAGGCAACTCAGCGAAGGAAGATATGAAAATGAGCAGGACGTACTTTGGCTACCTCTTCTGCTGTAAATTCCTGGGACATGACGGAGGTTCAAAGCAAGTTTCGTGCCGGTGTCCATGATCAACGTGATTTCTGAGCCAAGTTAGCCAATAGCAGCCGGAGCATTTAACACCTTGACGCAAAAGTTGATGTGCGCTGTTCCTGCTTCTCTTCCTTCTCTCATGAGCACTTAACCATTTTTTTCTTCCATTTTATTTTAGCTTATGAATTTGACGCGTATTAACGCTTTCTCCCGCGCTCATGCTCGTCGTCGTCTTGCTCTCCATCCCAAAACCTTGACTCGGCAATACTCTGCTGCTAATACACCTCTGTCCCCCCGCATCTACACCACCGACCCTACCAAGTTCAAGTTCAAGACCGATGATCTCAATGTCCCCAAAAGAAAGATGAGCAAGGAGGAGCGCGAACGTATTTCTCATCCAAGAAATGAGGAAATTCCATTCTCCGTTGTACTTGTTGCTGGAGAAAACGGTCTGTCTGGCCCAACTTCCATGCGCGACATTCTTTCGGATATCGCGAGCAGAAAGCGCACTCACTTTGTGGAGCTCTCCAAGTGGCCAGACCCGGGCTGGGACAAACGACCAGGAACGCCTCAAGGTCCTATCGTCCGCATCGTCAGCTATGCTGAACTCTCCAATAATGCGAGGAAGCTGAAAGAGTCTGAAGCTAATTCACGTTCCCTTAACAAGCTCAAGGAGGTCCAGTTTACCTGGAGCATGGGCGAAAAAGACGTTCAACGTCGCTTGGAGAAGGCGAAGAAGGAACTCGAAGACGGTGTTCGCCTCGATATCCTTTTTGGGCCCAACTCGAACAAGGCAGGAGTCCGGTTTCCTGAGCTTTCTGAGATGGAGGCCATGCACAAGTCAATCATTGAGCAGCTTGGGGACTCTGCAGTGGAGCGTAAACCAGCCGAAATTAAACGACCGTGGATTGCAGTCTATCTCCAACCTTCACCTGCAGCAAAATCCCGTCGGTTAGTACGATTGGAGGAACGACAGCAAGAAGAAGACCGAAAAGAGAGGGAGCGAGCGGAAAGAGAGCGATTGAGGAGAGAGAAGCGTGGAGAAAAGGTCGCGCCTTTGCCTCCAGTGACTGAGAAGCCGCGACGAACTACGAACGTAGTCGCGTCGACGTCTGATCTTGATGTAGCTGAGCCACAGATGATCGAGTCCCGCCACTCAGCTCTATTGGGGGCCAGAAAGAGGATGGACAAGAGGCAAAGAGAGAAGTCAGACAAACGTGACACCCTGAGATCACGAAATCAACAGAATGATTCTTCATATTAGACATAATAGATCTCCATTTCGACTTCGAGCTCTTGGGACCCATCCAGTCCAGCTTCTAACGAAAGAAGTACGGTCTAATAGCTCTCGAAGCTAGAAAACAAAAAAAAATGGGGGTACCGCGGATCGAACGCGGGACCTTACGAATTCCGAAATCTTCAGTCGTACGCTCTCCCAATTGAGCTATACCCCCTCAATGAGACGAAGGTCTTGAGAGACCATTTTATACCCTATAGCTCCATCCGCCCCAGACATTATCGATGGTGTGAAAGCTATCGCGGCTATCTCACTGATGAATTTTATCTCAGGCCCAGAGGAAAAGTGAGTAATTGTTGAGTAAGAAGTAAGCTTTTGAAAACGGGTTGAGGCGAGGTCTACAGCTCCTATGAATAGCTGCCGTATTTAAAGGCGTTATTGGTCTTTCTCCAAATACTCATTACTTGATTTCGGTTTTCACGCTCATTACGGGAGAGTGGATGGGTCTTTCTGTTATTCTTCTGCCCCAATGACTAGCCTATAGGAATACTGGCCCCTTGTGGGAATATACGGAGATAAAATACGAGGCTATACAAACATTTCTAAAGAAGCTGGCTGCTGATTCGGCCAATAGGTGATTAAGTTCCCCTTTTTCCCATATGGGGTTTACTTATTTACTTGATTACAGGACACTTGAAGTGCCCAGGGTGGTCGTTACGCTCAAGTTTCGGACACGAAACAATTTCCTCAATCAAGTTCTCGAACAAATGAACCATATCTATTAAGCCGTTTCAGAATGCAAGCTATGCAGTCGTCAGCCAGTACAACCTTGTTTTCTGGAGGTTTAGTTCGAGGAGCTGTGCCTCTGTTACTGCCACACATTCCTGCAGGCCGGCACGTGCCGCCGCTTTCAACCTTTATAAGGTGAATGTGGGCGAAGCGCTTCTCTTCATCCCTGACTACGATGCCTTTCGCGTCCCAGCCGATGGCTCAACTTCAATCTCCTGACCCTATTTTCTTACTTGCTCTCGGTATTAATGACTTACTCTGCCTGGATCTCATTGTTAATGGCATTCTAGATGGGGGTGGCATTCGAGGACTCTCTGAAATCGAACTCCTCTCCGAGATGATGTATCGCCTGCAATTCGATGAGGAAACAGAAGAAATGTCGAAACCTTGTGAAAGATTCAATATGATTGGTGGTTCAGGAACCGGTGGGTAAGTAAGCCATGGTACTCCCGGCAAAGCTGTTGACCCTTGAACTGACTTCTCATTGAGACTTCTGGCTATGTTACTCGGTCCCCTGGCTCTTTCTGTAGACCAAGCCAGAGAAACCTATCTTAGGATCATTCGAAGGGCTTTCTCGCCAGATAACCGTCTTCCAAATGGGCTCTTTGATCCTGTTCCTCTGGAAGATCTTTTGCAGGATATCGTCCACGAGGCTCTTGGCGACCAGAATGCACGCATGATTGACCCAAGTCGTAAGGACAAGTGTAAAGCGTACGTTCCTATATTACGACAGAAGGGCATCGATTTACGAACTTTCCTCAGCTTTGTCTGCTTGAATAGCGTCGCAAACGTAGCCCATCCTCGTATCCTTCGAACATACAATACCAGGAACAATCCTTCGCCGAATTGTTGCATTTGGGAGGCTATTAGAGCGACTTTGGCCTCACCAGGCCTCCTTTCCAGTTATGAAATTAGAGACCGACGTCCCGGCGAGACGATGGTTGAAGGGGGCATTCGCTGGAATAACCCGGTAGCCGTTGTCTTGAAAGAAGCTCACCAAGAGTTTTCACAGCGACAGCTTTCTTGTCTTGTAAACCTTGGGACAGGCCACCCTGGCGTTATTAGAGCCAACGAAGACAAGCCTCTTGAAGAGACTTTGGTAGCTATTGTCCGTGACTGTGATAGAGCAGCGGAGGAGATGACAAAGTCAGCAAAGGAGCTGGTCGACCACGAGAGAGAGTGGAATACAAGACATGGACTTCCAAGTCTAGAAAAACCAAAGAAGAAAGACCCTTATTTGCCGAATGGCCCTGGAGCGAAAGGGAATCCGTCTTTCTACTTTCGCTTCAGCGTTACTCAAGGGATGCAGAAAATTGGAGAGGCAGATTGGGAGAAAGTGAGTGACATTGTCACCCACACCAAACAATACCTCCTAGAACATGAGTCCACGACGAAGGTCGATGAGGTCGTTTGTGGAGCATTGCAAGAGAAAAGAGTTTGGATTACCTTGGGAGATCGCAAGGCACCTAGCCCTTTACCAGTGGAACCCAAGACACCCAGCTCTAGCGGATATTTATCAGGGGAACGCAAGGCATTTAACACCAGTGGATATCTACCAGGAGGACAAAAGACGCCTACCTCTAGTGGATATTCATCAGGGCAGCGCTACACACCCTACTCTAGTGGATATTCAACAGGGCAGCGCTACGCACCCAACTCGAGTGGATATTCATCAGGGCAACGGTATACACCTAACTCTAGTGGATATTCACCAAGTCCGAATTCATGGGAGGGCACGAGATATAATGGAGGGTACTAGGCTTCGGGGGATTCTTTGGTGGGTAAATGCCTCCATCGTTCCAGAGTAGATAGATTCGTGCCAATTCATCAATCCGACCTCGTCGGCGAGAGAGAGCAGCAAGATCTTCAAGTGAAATCATCAGCCTCGGAGTTTACACAGCAATTATGAACTTGCTTGGCGCCCGACAACCATGATCTTGGCGCTACATCATTCTCAGTTCGTTTGTAACCACAAGGCGTGAGGGCATCCATGATGCTTGTCCCGGAGACAGGGCCATGGCATATTTCCCAGATCAAGTAAAATCTTCGGCATGCATCGAGACCACGCGTGAAAACAAAATGGCATCTTCCAGCCAGCCAGCAAATGCTTGAACCCTGATCAGCCCCGTTGACCTTACAGTTTGGCCATGCAGATCTGGACCTGAATTGACGGTTTCCAACGTACCCACCTCCACCGTTGGGGCTAGCCGTGCTTTTCATCGGCCTTTGAGCTCTGCATCAGCCAGCGCGGTTGACAAACATCGAGTTATTTGGAAATCCCTTCGGCTTTTTGTAACGACAGAAGACAGCACAGCGAAATGATAGTCATATAGTGCTGCTACATCAATTCTTCCCGCATATAAAGAGATGGGATGTTGGCGGGTCATGCTTCCTCATTTTCGTTCGGGCCCATCACCGTTTTTTTCCCTTTTCCCTCTCTTCGTTCCGGATTTTTTTTGACTGCCTGAGTGCTAGCACTCCCCAGTCCTTTCTTTTCATTTATCTCAATAACGTCCATTTCTGAGATTTCGGATTCATCATGGTCTTCACCGCACGCTCACTCGTTTTACTCGCCTCCCTCCTTACTGCTACGAATGCTTTGAATGACTGGTCGAGGCCCTGCCTTGCAGGCACTTGCTCTTACGACCTTCCTGATGCCGATGGACAAGCCGCGTCTGGCTCGATCAGAATTGTAAGTAACTGTGGATCGTGTGACCGTTGTATTCTTTACTTATTCGGATTGTAGTGGTCTGACAACAAGGCCTTGATCACGGATATTACCCAGGTAAGTAACATTTGTTGAGCGTTTTCTTGTAAAAGTTGTGAACACCACCCCTTTCAAGGCAGCGGACTGGGAAATTATTGGGTGTTCTCCTGATAAGCTTGCACAAGACATTCGCATTGTCTGCAAGTCTGATGATTCCGAGAAGTGCAACCACCTCTTCGATGGTGGAGCTGAGGGCAAGATCGTTCGTCTTCCCCAGAACGTAGGCACTTTTTTCCCCCTTTTAGTCTCAAGCTTTTCTGAACTTGGATGAATTAGTGTGGCCAAAACGCCTTTGCACGAATTGGAAGGATTTGGGTTTCTGATGACCAATCCGTTCCTCAAGACGTTGCTCGCCGTCTCGTTCGCAGAGCCGGTGCCCCCGCTCAAGTTCGCGGTGTAACTATCGATACCGACTTCGGTGCTGTTGATGCCAGCAAGGGCAAGATCAACTTTGCTCTGCGAGGTGCCAATTTCCAGGGTGCCAAAGGTGACATCGATGTCGGCCAGTCCAACGCTGCCCGTCGTCGTGATCTTATGGCCCGTTTCGGCTTTGGCGATATTGTCAGTGGTAGGTCGTCGTCCCTACCGCCCCATGAAAGGTTGTCTCAAGCTCATTTTTAGGAATCAAGGATGCTGCCGGTGCTGTCGCCAACACTGCTCAGGCTGCTGCTGGAGCTGTTGCTGATGCTGGTCAGTTGTCATTTTATTTTCCTAGTCCGCATCATGCTTAATGGACCTCATAGGCTCTGCCGTTGTTGATGCCGGTCAAGCTGCGGTTAACACTGTTGCCAATACTGCATCTAACGTTGCATCCAACGTTGTTGACTTCGGCGAAGCTGCCGTCGATAAGGTTGCCGATACTGCCAAGACCGTCGAGAAGAAGGTTGAGGACACCGCCACCAAGGTCGTCGACAAGGCTAAGGATGTCGAAAAGACCGTTGAAAAGAAGGTCACTGATACCGCTAAGGATGTCAAGGACACCGCCGCCAAGGCTGTCGACAAGGCCAAGGATGTTGCTGACAAGGCCGTCGACAAAGTCGTCGACACGGCCAAGGACGTCGCTGACAAGACCAAGGACGTTGCCACCAAGGCCGTCGGTGCTGCCAAGAATGCTACCGAAGCGGCTGTTGACAAAGCTAAGGATGTTGCTGGAGATGTTGTTGACAAAGCTAAGGATGTTGCTGGAGACGTTGTCGACGCCGGCAAGAATGTCTTGGACAAGGCTGAGAACATCACAAGCAACGCAGTCTCCGCCGTGAAGGATGCCGCTGGCAAGGTCAGACTAGTTTTCCCTGTTCGACCTCTCCAGAGCCTTATGTGAAGTTTAGGTTGTGAACGCCACTGAGGACCTTGGTGAGGAAATCCTTGGAAAGGCTGAAGATGGTTTGGATGCTGTTGGCGATGGCGGTGCGTTTTTTTCCTTCATTTTGTCTCCGCCTCCTCATTTCTTTGCAGCCAAGAAGGCCCTCGACTTCACTAACAAGGTTGTTGGCGATCTCAACAACGTCAGCATCGACGAATCTAAGACCTTCCCTCCCTTGGCCATCAACAAGAAGTTCAACCTCGTCAACCAGAAGGTGTCATGCCCTGGCCGCTCTGCTGGTTTGACTGTTGACGTGAATGCCAATGGTGAGATATTCCTACTTCTCCAGATGAATAAT